GAATTGTGGACATCATATACACTTTACACTGTAAAACTATTTAGCACAGGTGGCCCTGTTGTCTAAGGTGCCTTAATTCACTCTGCCGAGAAACGTATGATTGTGATGATTAAATTTCTAAGTTTTTCAGCATCCTCACCAGGGCTCCTGGGTTTCACCAAAGCAGTAAATGTTTCACATCATTGTGGAGATTTACAAAAAACTAATGACCCACATGAAGGATTTAGAGCCTCATTATAAAATAATGAGCCTTTCCTGTCCACTTGGAACTACTTGTGATTAGAGAGGAAATAAAGAAGGTTATAGCAGCTCCATAATGGAAAATAGAGTTGATCAAAGAAGATACACCATTGCTGCACAATGACATGCAATCAGTTTTATGCATGTATGCAGTGCTTTCAAACCAAACATCTTTCATAAGCTGGACAACACTCTGCACAATGAAATTTGGCACCTTAGACCAAAAGGCCACCAATGTTCAAACAGCAATACAGTGCACTCTGTCTAATTCGGACCAGCTTGGGACCGACAAAGAAGACAACAAAGAAGGATTACGTCGGGACCGTGAGTTCAGTCCTGTTTATACAGCAATCCGAGAAAGACAGAGTCCGAGATTGACAGAGTGCACTGTAAAATCAACATGGACTCTTGAAGGCAAGGCTGAATTTCTGTAAAAACGTTATAGTATAGTTTTTCTCAAATGTTGCCCAGGGTTCGGAGAAATATTTTTGGTAAACCAAGACACAGAAAAGCTTGGTTTATCTAACAGCCCATACAGTATATCATTACGCAGTGTGATGGATACGTTGGTATCAATACAGATGTATAGTAGGACTCTCTTCTTACAATAAAATCCTGTATACGATACCTGAAAATGTCTGAGTCAATAACCACGGAAACTAATCAATTTGATGAAAGAATCCCTATGTGCTGTGAAGAGTTGTGTCCTTCACAAGCAAGAAATTCATCGGTTTTAAGTTCAAAGATTGTCCCAAATAAGTGTGTCAGTGCTTTATGTACACTTTTGCTTCATTTGTTCCCTTCTTTTGCATTTCAAGCCTACTTATTCTGGCTCAATCATGCTACTGCCCACATAGAACAGGAGTTGTATTCCTCGTAACAAAACATGATATCCAATCAGATCACTGTTCTTATTCGAATGACTTCACAAAGATGACTACTATAGCAAACAACCTGGCCAAGCAGAGAAAAGATTCCAGATATCATATCTTACAGACAAAAAATACTATAGTAAAGATAATTGTTACTGCATCATTTCACTCTTACAGTGATAGAGGCATGCAAAAAACACACAGCATCAAGTAACACTCACTGTAGTATGAAATGCTAAATGATTCAGCTTAACAGCATTTGTATCTCGGTCACTGTGGTAAGTTTTCAGTCTTTCAAGCTGAAAAACTGAACTTTCATAGGTGGATCCAGAGGGTGTGTGCAGGGTGCGCACCCCTCTTTTGTGCTGAAAGTTTGTTAAATGACCATTGAAACTCGGGTGAAAATGATGTGTCCACCCCTCCTTTTCTCAATAGTGTGCACCCCCCTTTCTCAAAAAGCTGTATCCGCCCTTGAGTTTGCATGCAGTACATAACAGTGCTCTCGCAAAGACAAAATGACAAAATTGAGCCAGTTTGAAAATATTTGTCTTTGATTAATTTTTGTGATAATAGCATTCTATAAGCAATGGCTGTGGCCATATTAGTTACCACATTATCAGGATCCAAAGCTGGATTTTGTAAAATATTGGATGGCATAGTCCTCTCATATTTTACCTCAGAAGAGTAGGGTTGAAATGACACAGGTGAAAAATTTGATATAATTTAGTGGACACTGTATGTTTTGAACTGAATGCACTTAAATTACAGGGGCAGTGGGGTAGCCTCGTGGTTAAAGTGTTCTCTAGTCACACCGAAGATCTGGGTTCGATTCCCCACGTGGGTACAATGTGTGACGCCATTCTGGTATCCCCACTGTGATGTTGCTGGAATATTGCTAAAAGCGTCGTAAAACCATACTCAGTCACTCTTAAGTTACAAATTTTGGAGTGATTCCTCAATTGAGTCATAAGACACTGTAGTGATGATGAGAATAATGACTTGCTTTCCATTAAAAACTTTAAGGTCTTTACACTTTCCAGATGACCTACATATAATAGATCAGACGAAATAATTACCAGGTATTAAGAGAGTAAGTGGTAATACTACTTTGGTTTGGTAACTGTCTGCAGTATGTGGTATAAATATTCTGGGATTAATTTCTCATTTTGACTTGTTAGATGAGAATAGCCCAGACTGATCCTTTCCTCTGGGTATCATTATGTGGAAATAGCAGTCGGTAAAGCACCAAGACAGGTCAGCCTCCCCATAAGTGATTTGTATTTGTACTGGACTTCACCCAAGTACTGGACACAAACAGTGACATAGACTTCAATCAAAGACTGTGCTTGGCAATGAGGACTATTAGTCAAACAAACACTTCACAAATGGCAAAATAGATTGGAGGCTACCTGCTATATAATGTCTAATGGGTGTATAGGGTGAGGTGAAATAGAGTTCGTGTTCAAAATATGTGGGTATGTATGTATAAACATAGGTCATGATGCCAGGGTTTTACGTGACGCACAAATGTGTGTCTTGTACACACAAATGCAGAGAATGGATGCAGAAAACCCAAAACACTGCCCCCGGAGAGACGCACAAAAATACTGAGAATGTACCTACGGCGCGTCAAGAGTTATCCATAGCTCCATAACTGGTCATTATTGGCTCACCAACTTCTAGAACACTAATCAAACAATTAGTAGTTATCTGGGTCTGTTATTTCACCCATCAGTCATGACCACTGTCTACATGACTGCTGATTCATTCCAGGATCTGAAGTCATTATCTGAACGTACACTTCAAATATCATTTCAATACTTTACTGAACCCTCATATTACCAGCAAGGACCCCTAAAATTTATTGATGGGGTCCAATGGACCCCTGCTTTTGTAAGTCAAGGTAAAACCCTGTGTTTTCTATGATTTTTAAGACAATACTCCTCTCTTTCTATTGTTGTAACCTTACATTATTATCACATATCTACAATATATTAAACTAGTCCCTGTTATAGACTGAAAACCACTAAAATCTCAATAAGGTCTTAAAGTATTTGTCAGAATGCTGTGAATTGACACCTTAAGAATGAGTAGTTATTTTATTGTAACTGACATGTCTACAATTTCATTGCCAGAAATGGTGACTTGTTTTCAGCATTACCCAAATTTGTACTGGATATAGACAGATTATAATATGCAAATGCTTGGTGTGTTGTTTTGGGTAGACTGCTAATGTTCTCCCTCCAGTTGTCCTCAGTACCTCACAGACATGTAATCAGTATGTTTTCTTTGTTTACAGAAGCAGATGTCAAATTAGGCCACATACTTTTTCATTTGTTTTACAGATTTTTAACAGGAAAATACTTATCAGTTGGTAAATTAGAAAGATATATAAAAGGACTACAGATTATGTTTAGTTTGCTCATCCTCTGAAAGCAGGCAGGTGTAAGAAAAGAATTTTTTTTATGTATCACAAAAAGTCTTAAACATAGATGCAAAGCCATTAATGTTTTGTCCTTCTGTAGAAATATATTTTGGGGATGCAGTAAGCTCACAGCTTATCAGAGAGGAAAACGACGGCAAATTCAGAAATGTTTTTTGCCCGCTTTAGCAAAATTTAGAGCCAGCAGATCCGTAAGACAAGTAAAACAAATGTGTGGGCCTATTAGGGAATTGGTGGTTATGTAAAGGTTACAGATGCGACCTTGTTTTGACACGTTGGCACACTTAGGTAACCTCTTCGCTCTGGTTCACCAAGGGCTGTTTCAGCAACATAAATTCACCTATATGTGTCATGTCCGTTAATCCTGAAAACACGCTGATTACAAGTTTGAGAGGGATTACTGAAGTTTATGATTAAGGACATGTCTCTTCATTTAGATGTATAGCAGCTGTATTATATCAATACATGTTATCCAAATTTAGATAAGCCTCAAAGTTAGCTTCAAATCTGGTAATGCAATGTGATAAATTGCTCTTGTAAGAAATGATCTGAACCAGATGTAGATTTTATGTCAAATACATGTGTGATGGAGAGCCATCATTTTACCACCGAAAGAAACCTCCATACAAAATCATAGCTAGACCAGTGTAATATCGGACAGATTTTATATATGAAGACCATTTTGACAACAAATATAACAATTTTAATTAATGATATGTATTTAGTGTGTATTAGGATAAAGATTTTCAAAATATTCAAATGTTCATGTGATTTCAGGTATTGTTTCTTTGCCAATGAGTATTTATACAAGTTATCAATCACATTGGTTATTGATAGTTTTCTTTAGTCATTGATTATACTTTTACTCACATGGGTCAAGTCAGGTATATGAGTAGACATATGTATATAAATAAAATGTTAAATGCTAACTCCTAATTTGTATCTGTTCGTGTGCTTTCCAAACCATGTATCGTGTATCATAAACTCATAATAGTGATGCACTTGTCTGAATAGGAGTAGTGATGTATTTTGCATGCCGATTTCCAGCTGATGCAGCTGAATCGCAGCTGTGGTACGACTCGATCATAAATGTGTCTTCATTGCTGAGATTTTTTATAGAACTGCAATGAACAATCAATGGCCATAATGCACAGAGCAGTGACAGTAGCAATATCCATTATAATATTGACATTCCTCAACACAAGCTTTTACAATAACGTGACAAGGTCGTACCTTCAGCCAATATGTGAATAGCAAGGCATGGCTCTTTACCCCCCAAAATTCAACCATTGTTCCCCTGTCACGGCCCATGGACGCAGACTGTACGAAGGGACTGTGTATGCCCCAACATTTAACGATTGACCTGTCCATATCTTGTCAGGGAAAGAAAGGCTCAGCTTCGAAGGGACTCAGTAGTGAAGTGAGATCGCCTGCTGGTTGGAATGTCGCCAGTGGTTGGCCTACCTCAGTTTACGATGAGCTCTCTCCCTCTCCCTCCCTTCCCTCCCTCCTGTAACACCTGAAAGGGTCCCAGTGTATGAATGAATGTGGGTGCTGGAGTGGTTCGCTTGACACAGGTTATCATACAGTACGCAAGGGAAGGCAGTGTGCCAAAACGCTATCTGTGTGTCTGTCATACGCACTTGTGGATATATGTTGTGGCTGGATGTAAACCAGTTCAGGGAGAATATGTGGGATTTTCATATTTGAAAACGTTTGAGGTAGGTGTTTGTTTTTGCTATAAATTTGTTGTTATTTGTGTGATTAATGAAGATATTTATTGTGGACAGTGTGGTGCTGTTTTTGTTGACTATACTTGTATATCCAAAGGGCAGTCCACCTAGACATAGCTTGTTGATTGAAGACAATGGAATCAGTGTTATTTATGCTATTATTATCTTATAGTTTATTAATATAACATGACTTATATATGTGGGAAAGGAATGTGCGTGTGCATTTACACTTATCAATTTCTAAAATCAGTTATGATTCTTATTATCGTAGCCTTTTGTGCTTTTCTATTGTATTCTTTTTGTTATGTGAAAGAAAATAGGTTAAATTAAAAATTTACATGTAATTCATCATCTTAGGGGATGTCATGAAATTTGATCTGAAGAAATGAGAACATTGACTTGTGTTGTTGGAAATATTTCTGTATAATACTGCATCACTATTATTCACCGATTTAGGATGGAATAAAAACTCACCACCTAAAGGTTAAGAATGTGAAAAAACGTATGGTTTTGATGTTGAAATCTATATTGTTGGCACATCTAGAGTAACAATTACCCATGAGGCTGATATAGGTTGCCCTGTCACATTGCCTTGGGACATGCTGGTGAGTAACAAAATGTTTATGTAGGAACACAAGTATCTTGACAGATGGTGACGTTTGTGGATGGAAGGTCATGCATATAGCTGTGTAAAACATTTCTGTTTGCTGTGAAGGTATAGTTTTATTTGACATTATATACTTGTGAACAGAATGAAAAAAACGCCAAAACTCTTTTGTTGAAAAATACCTTTTGGGTAGTTCTTGACACTAGGGTCCGTGTTCCTCAAAGCGATCATAGCACGGCCATTGTCAGAAGTCAGTGTTATAGTATGAGAGTTACGCACATCTAAGCACTAGATCACTACCTGAAACAGATTTCCTTGTCATTTGCCTCAGGACAAGTATGGGGTATTTTTGACTATATTCTGGGTACTGAAAATGCTACTAAACTGAAGCTACGTACTGTTTGAAGGCAAGCTTGTACAGGTACTCTGATATAGTTCAGATAAGGATTCTGTTGGTACCAGAAAGTTAATCATCTTAAATCACGCAGCACATTAATTGTTTTTCTTCCGTGTTATATTTCCAGAATTAATGGATAGGGTCATCATGTATACAAGTCCTTGCATGCTACGATAGCTTTTGTGATCTGTTCTTTCCACACATTTTCACGTCGACTTCTTTTCCAATGATTAATAACATGGTGTTATTAACATGTATATCAGTGAGAAACAGGCTTTATTGCACCACATCCTTCTGATATTGACAGTATTCCTGGGTATTGACCTACAACCACTATATATGGATATTGCAATGGGAAGAGAAACAGGATACACTAGGCAGGGAAGCACAGGTGTTCAGGCACATAATGATAGAACACGTTTGAAATCAGACACAGCAGCTGACTAAGGCTACTTCAATATAATCAGAGAACCTGGGGCTAGATTTAAAAATACTGCACAGCAGCCTGTATGAACAATTCCTCAGTGCTATTGATTTCGGGGTAAATTTACAATTCAGATCGTAGATCATAGTTTGATATTTTTACATTTATGCATGTTGATAATTTTTTGTTGCTGTTGTTTAGGATGATATAAAGCAATGATATATGCATCTTCATTAATTGTCTTTTCTATTTGGAAACTATGATTTCATGTATTGTATATATTATCATTAACTATTATTTACTTTCAAAACCAATTGTTGTGCTATTAGATATCAGACTAATCCTATCTTTAGAGCCAACAGCGAACATTTATCGATTCAATGTCACATTTACTTTGTACTTAAACATCACTTTGTTTTAGAAATGTATGTAAACAAGAATGAATACCTCTTAAGTGACATCCCTTTGAGCAGTATAATTGAGTTGCTTTAACCATACTTTATGTTTAGTAATTTGAGATGACTGTTTATGTTGATTATGTTAAGTACAGACAGTAATGTCTACATTTCCTTTCAGAAGGGAAGTCTCTTGTGACAGTGTTCTTACATGCTTAAGGGGGAAAATTCTCCAGTTGATCTATATGATTAAAATTACTTATGTATACCAGAAAGACATCTCTCCTATGCCGGGCTTATTCTTCAGCTATATAAATTAGTAATACACTAATAAGAATGGACCCTGATCAGGCAGTTTCAGACCAGACAATAAACAAATCGAGAGCTGCATATTTCATCACTTGTGCTGTATGCAGCCCCTTGAGTGTAGTGTTGCTGAGGAGAAGCCATGTTTAAGCTGTGTGTTCGTGTAGCTGTCGCTCATATAAAACCTGGTCTTTGATATCACAGATAAGGAAATAAGATCAAGCATGCTTTGTGGTGTAATCGCATCAAGGTAAACTGGGCCATACAGGTGGCACTAGTGATACACGTATCAGCTGTCACAGTTTATACTGCTTCTATTGATCAATTACCAGGAACTTCTGGGAAGACAGAAATACATACCAACTGGTTCATATGGTCAATAGTGACTGGTGTATATAGCATGCTGAATCAGGCAGTTTGGTAAGAGATGCAAAGAAACATTATTGTTATTTTTTGTAGTTACATTACACTAATAAGCAGCAGAAAATGTACCGGGTGGGATATGTCATGTGACTATTAACCTTCTAGCGCAGCTTGGGTTATGCAGGATAATAATAATCAGATTGATAGAATAGAATAGAATAATACTTTAATGCCTTTCCAGGAATTTGTGTTACATCAGCAGAGCTACTGACACATTAGAGAGATACCAAACATATTAACATAAATTCTTTGATTTAGGTATCTTCACATTTGTTTAAGAGAGATATGGTACTAGGAATAAAGGATGTACGGGCTCTCTTAGTTTTCACAATTGGAACTTTGTAGCGGCGGCCTGAAGGGAGGAGGTTGTATTCCGAATTGGGGTAGTGAGTACGGTCAGATATGATTTTGACAGCTTGATTCACGATTTGCCGCTCATATATTGATGATAAACATTCAAATCTGACTCCAGCGATTTTACTTGCAGTGTTAACAATTTTGTCTAGCGCTGTGAGCATTCACCTAGTGAATGGAGTTGAGCTCATTATATATGCACTTATTGTAATTATCAGTCCACATTAATGTGGAAGCACTTTCAGGACTGGATTTGGTTCATTGTAGGAATATTCCATATTCCAAACATTGGTGAGGTGAGGTGAAATTGGGTTTAACGTCGTGCTTGAGAATATTTCGCTCATATGACGACATGCATGCGTGTGTATGTGTATGTGCGTCTGCTTGTACTAGCCCAGACTGAAGCTGGTTTTATAGTGCTAGCCCACTGAGATACCATGCCGCAGTGAAGCATGAATACCCCTCAGACACATTATACTGACTCCGAGCCGACCAGTCCTTGTTGTAGCCATTAATGCTGAGCACCAGGCAGGGACCAACAAGTACCATATTTTAACGTCTTTGGGTATGACGTGGTCGGGGATCGAACCCACGACCTTCCGCTCTCCGGGCGGACGCTCTAACCACTACACCACAGAGGCGGTCTCAAACATTGGTTGGTTCGCTGAACACATATACCTCACATTGTACTTACCTATGAGACAGTAACGTGTGTAGGTGTTCAGAATGGACCTTAAGCATCGGGTGTTGTTTATTCATTAATGCAGTGTAGGACACTACATGTTGGTGAATCATATTGTCAGTGAATAACAGCTATAGTATATGGCTTTATGTTACCTCAAAGACTCTGTTACAAACATGGATGTGGAATAATTCTTTTAACCTGGAACAGTGGTAAACTATGTATGGCATAATACTTCCATCTGCATGGTCGATATGTAAATTTCAGACAGTAGGTATTATCACCCTAGTACATTATCATTTGGTTTATTATTTTGTAAAATCACACAATTGCTGTTATTCAACGTTCCCTTCATAATCATGTCATTCAAAATTTGCCCAACTGGAATAATAAGGGTACAAAGCTGGCAGCACCGACTGAGGAAATTGCTATAAAGAGATGTTGGATGATACGATACAAGGATAGTGCACACGATGCATACATAGTGAAATTAACGTGAAATAGACGGAAATTGCAGTCCACTCCCTGTGTGGCAACGGTGATATGGAGAGGCTGCAACCTGAGGCTGCTGTGCTTTGATCATGAACAACAGAAATGTACACGCCAGGTTTTGTTTGTGAAGTGGAACATGCACCTGACCACTTGTCTGTGATATATGGCTTGATAGTGCTGGCAGTTTACACCAGTTTATAATGCTCTAGGTGACAATAATATAACTTTAAAGCTTTGTAGGTTGTTGGCATATGAGGTTTAGTTCTTCTTTTGGTCTTTTTCACAGTGAATATTTTATAGAGGGATGACAAACTGCCACAAAGTGAAATATTTAGAAAGATCACAGGGTCTCAGTTGCTTTTTTGAAAACTTAGATCTCAGTGTCACTGTATGACCAATGTCTATAATAATCCCATGTGCATCATTATATACTGAACAAAAAAAAGTTACATATGTTTTGCAGTGAAGAGTGTGCAAAAATGATACTAATAATAATTATTATCTTTTTCAAATGTGGCTGTTATGCACTGCACTCTAGTTGTATAAAGTAAAAGCATCATGAATTTTACATATAAACGTGCCTGTAACTCTACAGCATTTATCGAGGTAATTACTTGTTACTGTATGTTTTGCCTTTTAAGTAAATGTATGTTAAAAGCTCTGAATTTTCCATTTACTGTTAAATGTTGCATTAAAAACACTAAAAAATGTTAAATTTGTCAGCTTCTTACTTAGTTAAAATGCCAGCTTCCTTCCACACCATTATAGAACTTCCTGCTTATTCATAACTTCAGGTTCTTTTCATAATTAAACAGCTTTTATGCTAGCAGTTTGTTAGAGCTATGCCATATGATAATACCAATGAGCAATTACAATGTTGCAGAGTAATCCTAAAATGAGATCAGTCC